AGAGAGAGAGAGAGAGAGAGCGATAGATACAGAGATGTGTGTGTGGGGGGGTGGGGGTGCTTGCATGAGACAAACGTTCAGTAATATTCATACTATTTCATTTCAACCATAATATATCACACCACCAATATAATATAAAGGAAATCGCATTCTATCTCTATTTCTATGTAGTCACACAAATCGAAACATGAGGTGTTGCAACATTCTGTAGTCTGTCAACCTTCCTCCTTTGTGCACCCACGTGGCTCATACTTATTCAAATGAATACGAGTTCTATAGTTATGAAATTATGCATTTTTAGAACAAAACTCCCACCCACACCCCTTTTTTCTGAGGGATAAAGCACTCATTTGCATTTTTATTGCAACATTTAATCTTTCTTATGGGGGCATTCAACTATTATTCTGTCTGTTTGAAATGATAATGCTAATGGAATTTGCGGGTTAATTATGAAAAATTAACACGAAACTTTTGGTGTAAGTTAAAAAAAAGTCGCGCCCACATAGATTTATTATTGTCCATTGAAAAAAGTAGAAGACATGAAGACTATATGCTCGATTAATTTTTTAATTCTTATTTTTTGACGAACAAAGTCGACAATAAAGTTGAAAAGTTCTTTGGCATACATTGTTTTCTATGGAGATTATGCACATAATTTTTGATGCGCGAAAATTATGTACTCTGAAACGTCATCACTATGTCTTAGGCTACACCTCAAGTTAGAGCTGGGCAATGAGTCGCTTTAACAAAATCCGGATAATATGTTAGTGCACCTCTTCGGCAAATAATATGATAGAACCGCTTCTGCAAATGGGTTAGAACCACTTCGACAAACGGGTTAGCATCACTTCAACAAATGAGTACACCCACTTCGGCAAGCAGGTCAGGAAAGTGAGTTAAAAGTCTGAATTCGAACAGTGTTTCATTGCTAATTATCCGGTTATTCGGATAGATTATCCGGATTTTGCCCACCTCTACCTCAAGTACTTATTTTTTTTTACCCTTCGTTTTCGTTTAAAGTATTTGTTTTGTGATGCATACTGTAGTTCTTACATAGCTGGAACCCATTAAAAATAATATTTGATACAGCTGAAGCATGGCCACAGACTAATACAATTCGAAAAATACAGAATGTTTTAATCATTAGATGTGTCAGTTGGCCGTCTGAATGAACAGCTGCCAAATTAAGAGGAGCGAAATGTCTCAAAATGATGCGAGTTACGCACGTGTGCAAGCCGCAAACAGAGAGGTGTACTCAAAAAGTGGCCCTGGTCGTGATGTTTACCCATGTGGCGTGCAATTTAAATAGGCTAGCTGTAAGAGTTTTATAATCGCTCCAGATCTGTTCTGCTTCGACGCAACGTCGTAATACATGTATATTTATTTGAGTTTTTTTGGGATTTTTTTAAACCACGTCCTGTAGACAGTCGACACGCTCTTGCTCTTGTTCATTCATTGCCGCACACAGAAACACATAGAGCCCCAGACATGCTGCAGCTGATGACATGTGACGAGTGGTTCAAATGGCTCTCATGTGACAGTCGTCTTTAATGTCAATATGTTGCTTCTCTTTTGCCTTCACTACTTTAAAAACCAGAACTGAGAACAGGCAACACACAAGAAGTTGACATACTGGCCGCCTCTCCGACTCCATTCAGATCAAGAACATGTGGGACAAAGTATAAACTTGCCTGCCTAAAATAACATTTCCCTGGCCTTCAACGTTTAACGAGCTTTAAGGGTTTAAAAAAGATTAAGGGCGATCACAAAAACGTCGTTAGCTAAGAACACAATGAATGCCACCCCCGCGAACAGCAAACTCTGCCAACTTTTACCGTGCGCTGTGAATTAAGTGTTCTCTCGTGTGGACACATTCTGCACACGCGCTCATTCAGGACGACACGTCCGGGCATGTTTTTCAACATGGGCCCGAAGAAAAGGCTCTGAGAAAATAAGACTGATTTATTGCGCTAACAAAGCAAAAAATAAAAGTCTTGACGGCTATTAAAGCAAGAGAGCGGAAGTGTTTATGGGATCGTAGCCCCCAGCAAGACTCCCTGTCGTGGATAGATCAGCGGTTTCCAGACATTGCCTCAGGGCCTCCGAGGTATTTGGCGATCGAGCAGCAGCTGACCAGTGCTGGTCAAGCCAAAATTCTGGACCCGATCACCGCCCGGTGGGGTCTCTCGGCCAGATCGTGTCGCAGTCTTAATCTTGGCACGGCAGCCTGGCGCCACGTGTTTACCTTCCAGTGACAGTGGCTTCTACCCTGTTTGTCTTTTGGGCCTGTGTGGACTCGTCCTACGTTTACGTTTTACAGCTTATTTTCAGCACGATTTCTATAATTATAAAATGCAATTTTAGAACAAACTCCCACCCCCTTTCTTTTTTTCTGATGGATGAGGCTCTCGTTTGCATTTCTATTGCAGCATTTAGCTCTTTAAGGACCTAGCGGTTAGGTAATAATGTGCGATCAGCAGATCAAAAGCGGACAGAGATAATCATGTCTGATCAGCATAATATTATTATTATTATATTGTGAAACATCATATTATACAAATCAGAAACACGACGAATGTGTCTATTTTACAGTATGCAGGTTGTTTTGACTGCCTTTTGAATTTTCAGGTGAAGAGAACAAGATTGAAAAATCCTTATGAATAACAAGTTAGGGTTATTTTGTAAAGTGCTGCAAAACAGCGAGCATTTAATCGTTGTTATAATGAAAATTCCCGTCACCAGTGAGTGAAACAGTTCAATATCTGCGTCTACATTGTCCCGTCCTTTTCATATTATGGAGTTCACTAGAGGGTCGGTAATCGGAACAAAGGGCAGGCCGATGGCAATCATATTATGCGGCCCCCTCACTCTCTCTCTCTCTCTCTCTCTCTCTCTCTCTCTCCTTAATATTTACCTTTCATACCCCCCCACCATTTTTTTTCTTCTTTTTTTTTCTTTCCCCACTGAATTCTCGCCTTCTCTGATTTGTTGGGTGCCCCCCCCGCGCGCGCTTTACGAATTTTGTATTTCGTATTTTATTAATTTGCTCAGGATCCTGAGACTACATTGGATTGAATTAAAAAAACCAACAACCAACAATACCCCCCCAAACCCCCCCCCCCCCCCCCCCCCCCCCACAAAAACAACCAACAAACAAAACATTTCTTCACAAAAAACAGTGTGTTTGCTGAATTTGTCTATACAAAAAAAAATGCTGTTGCTTTTGTGTGTGCTTTTGTTTGTTTTGTTTTTGTTTTTTGCTTTTTGCTATCTTTAATGCTGGGGGTCCATGATCGCCCACGCCAGTCGGCAAGGCAACGGATGATGATGAATGCGGAAAAACTGCTCTAAGTTATACAGGCTTTTTGAATGACGTCAAATTAATGTGGGGGTTTATTTTTTGTCCTTTGCAGGTGATGTGGGGTATGATCGGGTCCGGCCGTTGTCCTACACTGAGGCAGACCTGGTCATCATCTGTTTTGCCATCGACCGGCCAGAGTCCATGGAGGAAGTGGTCGCAAAGGTAGACAGGAAGGAATTGACTCCTTCATTTTTCTTTTTCTTTTTTAAATATACATGTTCCTCCTTATTTAGGGCACTGATTCCCCGTGCAGACGTTAAAAACGTTTTAGAGTGTAGTTGTTTTATGCCCCCATTGATATCATGATCAAACCGTTTGGGAGGCGGGCTTCCATACTATTTAAAACAAGAATGTTTTAGAATGAATGTAGTTGTTTTATGACGCCATTGATTTGATTAAACCGTTTGAATGGTTGGTTGGCGGGTGCTCCTGTGTGGTTTGCTTCTTCTTTCCTCTCAAACATCTGTCGTTATTATCTCTCCTTCTTCTTTTTTGTCTTTGTTACTCTCTTGTAACATTTCTATTCTCCGGCACTTTTTATATGACCTTATTGTGTTGCAAGTGCCGTAAAACTCTTACTAAAACTTAAAAAAAAACATTTGAGAGGCAGGCTTCAACCCCGCCTGCCTGTCAGTTCCGACCTGGGCTGAGAGGGATGCAACATTCCAGCAGAAAGATGGAGATATATGTACTTAATAAGTGTTCTTTCCTCACAAGAATTGAACTCAGGTCTTCTGTCATTCCTTCTTTGGGCGCAATTAGTTTTGTCGTCCAAGTTTACAGCATCACAAACTTCCCTATAAATACACTCATGTATAGCCTCTTGCGTACACACACACACACACACACACACACACACACACACACACACACACACACACACACACACATATATATATATAATAAAACACTAAACTGTGTAGAAATGAGAGTGTAGTCTGACACCCCCCCCCCCTCATACCCACCCATCTTTGTGTCCCCAGTGGTACCCAGAGGTCAAAGAACACTGTCCCAACCAGCCGGTCATGCTCGTGGGCTGCAAGTCGGACATGCGCAGTGAGATTCGGGCCATGCCTCCGGGCAGACGCCGGCCGGAGTTTGTCACCTATGATCAGGTACGTCACACAGTCCAGTTCTTGTTGTTGTTTTTTTTAAAATTTTCTTTTATTTGTTTTGTTTGCTTGTTTTTTTTCGACTGCTTAGATATAGTGCGCTATTTTGAATGAAAAAAAATAACCTGATGTATTGCAGAGTTTTACAGTGCGTGGTTGGAGGGTGCTCTGGTGTGGTTTGCTACTTATTTCCTATATCAACCATCTATCGTCCTTTAAAAAAATAAAAATATCTCCTCCTTCTATTTTGCGTTTGTTTCTCCCTTGTAACACACCTAATCTTCGGCACTTATATGACGTTATAGTGTTGCACGTGCCGTAAAACCCTTACTTTAAAAAAAAGTTCTTCACAGAGCAGTCGATTTTTTTGTTGATGTTTCTTTTTTGGGGGGTGGGGGTTGGACCGGGGGGGGGGGGGGTGTTCCATTGGGGTTGGGTGTGGGTAAGGGGTGGGGGTTAGTGTCAGTTCACTCTGTAATGGTCTGCTCCCTTCTTCAAACGTGATCCTGTGGGTGGTTGGCGGGTGCTCGAGTGTGGTTTGCTTGTTCTTTCCTATCAAACATCTATCGTCCTTAGCTCCCCTCCTCCTCCTTCTTTTTATATTTGTTACTCTCTTGTAACACCTCTAATCTTCTGGCACTCATATGGCCTTATGCAGCTGCGAGCGCCGTAATACCTCTACTAAAACAAAGCAAAACGTGATCCTGTCGAAATCTGGTCGTTGTCTCGCAGTCTCGGCGGGTACCTCAATTAGTTAGCAATTTTGCATGACAGACCAAAAGTTACATAGTAGGCTATGTTGTAAAAAGCTAGGAAAGCACTTTTCTATGGACATACTTTGTAGTGACGTCTATCTCTCTTCTTCTTTTCATACTTTTTTTCCGTTTACTAAAGTCCTTATATGACCTTATTGTGTTGCAAGTGCCGTAAAACTCTTACTAAAACCAAAGTCCTTTCCAACCACCCGCTATTATGTGCAGCGAATGGTTTCATTTAATGCAATATTTCGTGTTTCTATTCTCTTTCAGGATTTTTTCCTTCTGCTTCTTGTTTCTTAAGTTCCCTTCTTTTCTCTCGTCTTTTTCTCCCTACGATTTAGATTTTCCTTTTTTTTTGGTGGGATTTTGTTGTGCTAAGTTGTCACTCCTTCATCAGTCGAACAGAATGGCACGGTTTTGTGTGCTTTCTGTCTGTCTATCCGTTGATTGGTTAATCATTTTCGTTTCGTACGTAGCTCGGAGCTTGACGTTGAGAAGGCTTGACGTAGTGGGATTGGGGGGAGGGGGGTGTCTTCGAGGGCTGCATCTGTGAAACGCACAAGTGGAGCTGAAAAACGCATACTAGACACCAAATCACGGTCCTCAGCAGTAAAGTTCTTGTGTTAGCTGCTTCTCAACTCAATTCACGCTCAGACCGTGACATCGCCTACCTTTGTGGTGCTTGGCAGGTGGCGTTGAAGAAAAGGTAGCGCACTGCTGCCGGAGGTGGAATGTCTTGTAAAGTTGTTAATTTGACGCTGGCAGGTGTTTTGAATCTTTTATTTCTTTCCCTTTGAGTTGGGAGACAATCGTTACAATAAGTAGAGCTATTTGAAGAGTGGAGTTGCTTATTACCCCCCCCCTAGTTCATATCAGAGTACCTACACATTAAACACGGTAGTTCATATCAGAGTACCTACTCATCTTTGCTGACAGACAGACAGACAGACAGACAGACAGACAGACAGACAGACAGACAGACAGACAGACAGACAGACAGACAGACAGACAGACAGACAGACAGACAGACAGACAGACAGACAGACAGACAGACAGACAGACAGACAGACAGACAGAGGGTGCAGAGAGAGAGAGAGAGAGAGAGAGAGACAGAGACAGAGACAGAGACAGAGAGAGAGAGACAGAGAGAGAGGGAGAGAGACAGACAGACAGACAGACAGACAGACAGACAGACAGACAGACAGACAGACAGACAGACAGACAGACAGACAGACAGACAGACAGAGACAGAGAGTGAGGGCGTAGAGCTTTCTGAAATGATGCTCTTTGTGTACTTTTGTTTTCACACGTGTTGACGGTAATTACTGAGCTCTGATTTTTCCCCGTTGAGGACTGTATGGGGTATATCCAATTCCGTTTTCCCGCTGTGGCAGTCAACAGACTGGGCTGATCATGATCGATGGTGCAGACGCGGTGGAGGGAAAAATATATGAAAAAACCCAACCCGGTAGCCTTCTTTGTTTGTTTGGTTTTTTTTTAAACTTCGGGGGAAGCTGTGAGGTGGAAGGGTATTCTTGCCAGAAGTGGTTTTGTTTTCACGTGGGCGGTTGGCGGGTGCTCTTGTGTGGTTTGTTCTTTCGTTTCTACCAAACGTCTATATCGTCCAGATCTCCCCTCCTTTTTTGTGTTTGTTACCTCTAAATCTTCGGCACTTATATGACCTTATTGTATTGCAAGTGCCGTAAAACTGTTACTAAAACTAAAATGCACAGTAACATTAGTACATCTTGGCCACGCCGTGTCAGCGGCTGGATGGCCTGTCGAGGTCGTTACTCGAGATAATGAGGAGAGTCCTTCAGGGGATGTTTGCGTCGGGAGTTATCAGTTTTTATCCAACTTAAGACCCGAGACATTCCCTGTCTTGACGCCTGTTTCGCTGTCTAGTGTTTGTCTTGACTGTCGGTCACGGTAGGGGGAAACTGGCAACTAAATATTCTACGTTGTCACTCTAGCGAGAGAATGAGGAGTAATTGGTCGTCTTTAAGGATAAGCGGGCTAACCCAGATTTCGGGGGTTTCCAGAAATCTGGACCTACACCAAAAGTGGGCATTTCCCTACCTAAAGGAGAAGTTTGGTGACATTGGTGTGTATATTTGTTTGGTTATAGAGAAAACTCTTCTTGTCTTTTAAAGAAAGTGAACAAGGGGCAAAAACTTTGCCTTTGATTTTCTCAAAACAGCATTTTTGGGGATAGCCCCCTGGTGCTTAAAAGCGACCAATTGTACGCCTTTAGAGCCTAGAGGTCTCACATGGTAGGTCAAGACACGGGAATATCGTTCCGAGTTTCTTTCTCTATAGATTCTTGAGTAAACGTCTACTGCAGCTCTCTATTTGGAACTTAAACTCTCGTAAAATGATCTACTTCGCGTATCGGGGGGCCCTCCATTTTTTGTTGTTGAGCCAATACAGAGGTAGCTGTAGTTTATGATTGGTTGTATGTGTTCCGTACCTTGGAGAAGTAGCGAGAGTTTGGAGGTGACAGCGGACGTCTGTTTGGCAAATTTGGTGGAGTTAGTTGATCGTGTGGAGGGGTTAAGCGGGTGGTGTCGGCGCTGATAACGCAGAGAGCGGAAGAGTGGGCCCCCTGCTGAGCTAATGATTTGTCGCACAGAGATAGTAGCGATATGACATTATGACATACAGAGACTTCACCCCCCTCCCCCCTTAATTAAAGAAAACCCAAACCCAAACAAAATAAAATAAGACAACCCCCAACCCCCTCTCCCCATCTCTCTCTCTTGCAAAGTGGGGTGGGGGTTCTCGGGCACAGGCTGTTAAATGACGGTAAAAATGATATAGTATTTTGAAGATTTTCTAAATAATATCTTGATATATTGTGATGTGTAGGCGAAATACTTTAAGCTATGGATGAATGTGGGTCCCTTTTAAAAACAGTGTTGGGGTGATTGAATAATGGTCTTCCTATTTTAACTTCCTTCCCTTATCGAGTCCGGCTCTCACTAGGCCTTTGAGAGATTTTTAAAACTCAAAGAAAACCTTTAATCAAAATGCAGGACCCCCCCCCCTTCCTCTTTGTGGGTTTAAGTCTGGTTTGTCCTCACCCCAACCTAGCATGATGCCAAATGAGCTAAAGGATCAGAGTTTATCGTTTACTTTCTTACTTTGTTAGTGTGCTGAGTTGAAAAGAAGCACTCGTGCACAAAATTAATGGGGAGAAAAGAGGAACAGTGAAAACACCAACACTAAAATAGGGTGGTCCCGTGGTAAGGTTATAGAGATGCAGGTACAGTACCGAGGGCTATGAACGGCGTGCTCTTACCGTCTCCAATTTTTTTTCTGCCTCAAACCAAAGCAGATTGGACAAAACTAGAATCGTGATGACTCAGGTTTTTCCTGAGTAGGTCAATGGGTTCGTTTCTCCCACGTCTCGTGGTGGCAGAGGCAATCTGTTAGGTCAAGCCGCCGATGTCAAACAAGGTCTGATTCCGTGAAAGGTTACACAACTATTGACACTAATCCTTTTACATGGCCTTGACATTTTCTTTCCTTCTCATTCATTGCCTGGTCTTTGGGTATCTTTGTCTGGCCTGATTGAAATGTCTACCTGATTAGGGTCCCCCGCTAAGCTTACGCTGTGTGTATCTTTGTACGTGTAGTTCGTTTGCTGTGTCACTCTTACATGAATGGCTTTAACTAAATTTATATAACAGATGTTGATGTCAGCACTATGAAGATTCTTTTGCCATCCTTTTGGTTTGTTTTCCATGCACTTGTTTGCGCAGCGGGTCGGTGGACGTCGCAGGTTACAGGCTGCGGTTCCCAATATTATGTAACCCCCCCCCTCCCAGGTATTTGTTTTGCTTTGTTCGTTTGGGTAAAGAGCGCAGTAATGGCCATAAAGTCCTGGGAAACAGTTTTTAAAAAAAAGACCAGACAGAAACAGCAGGGGGAAAGTAAGAAAAAAATAGGACCTCCGAGTGGCGTCCTCCAACCACCCGCTCCCCCAGGTAAAAAAAAGAAACCCAACAGAATATAAATAACACACAAAAAAAAGAAAGAAGGGGGGGCAGAGGTGGAGTGATGGTGGTGTCATCATGACCCTCTCGTCATTTCTGTTATTCACATTATAAAGTAAAGTTGTTCCCGCATCCGACCCGGGCATTGGGGATTGCCTTGTTAGTGGGACAACTTCCTGGGCCTTCAGCATATTATTATTCTGGTAGGGTGGCCAGTTCCTTTCCACGCCGCCTTTACTTCCCCAACTCGAAGTCAGGTACCCATTACTGCTGGGTGAGCAGGAGGGGGCGAAAAAATGTGTATCTGAACCGAGGCTCCAACCCGGACTTTCTGCTCTGGAGACGAGCGCACTGACCGCTCCGCCACTGCACTCTCATTCACATAATGTACTTGCCTTATTCAGAACTCTTTTCATCTTTGGAAGTATTATTATTATGTATTGTATAAAGATGACTAAAAAATAAAAAATAACAGTGATTTTGACGTTTTCCAGGGGTTGAAGACGGCCAAATACATCGGTGCCCTCGTGTACTCGGAGACGTCTGCCAAGAACTCGGCGCGCAGTGTCTGTGACGTCATGGAGGTGGCGGCACTGTCATCTGCTGGTGCAAAGAGTGGGTGCTCCTTCACGGCCAGCGGCAGCAGCGGCACCACCACCACCACCAGCAACAGCAGCACCGGCAGCAGCGCCAACAGCAACAGCAGCGCAGACAGCCCCAACTTTCGCCGGCAACGATCCTTCATCCGAAGAAAGCGGTTTACAGGGATGAACGAGGCTAAAGTCCATTTGAGGAAAGAGGCGGCCAAGAGTTGTGTGGTCATGTGACTTGTTCAAAGGTCAAAACGTTGAGGATATGAACGTGTAGTGACTGAATTCCTTCTCAGCTAAGGCCTACGTTGAATCAGTCGTAGAAGGCAGATGAAATTTTTCCTGTATGAGAAGAGGCCGGTTTGTTTTGATCCTCGGAGCGAGGACTGATCCCCCCCCTCCCTTCCCTCTAGTCAGGTGGTGACTTTCGAAAGAAGGATGGAGTATGACTGTGTGAAGAGAGGATGACATTATGAAAGAAATCAGAAACTTTGACACGCAGGTGTGCGTTTCCTCACAACAGCGGAATGTGCTCCTTGTTAATGTCCTAAAAGACAGGGAGACTCACAGGAAAAATGTGACAGCTAGACTCATTGTTTCTGATATTTCTGGTGTAAGAAACTCAGCTGTTGTCACGTTTTTTTCAAAGATGTACACAAAACACATTTCGCTCTTTGAAAAGTAGTGGGAAATACATATTATAACTGAAACGGAACTGTATAAACCAGCATTCCCCAACCAAAGAAAGTAATAGCTTGCATTAGTCCTGACATTATGGAAAGCTGAAAATTGAAGAGCTCCTGAGAAAAGGGAGCGAAAATTTTCTGCTTTCACTTTCGTTATAGTAGAGGACAGTGCTTTCAGGCTCTTGGTATAAATTTTTTGGTTAAACGTTGTAATGCCTGATGGATTGACTTTGTTCTTATTTATGGAGAAAGTGCTTCCCTTAACATCAGAGAACAAAATATTTATTTATGTTCCTTCACATATCAAGGCATACACCTTAATTGACATATTGAAATTAAATTGCTCACGTATTTTTTTTTCTCCTGGAGGTTAGCTATGTTGTGAGGTTAATGCCCTCTTAGTTCAAGGGAAGATTTTGTGTTTATAATGGTTCCCCAGAGCAGAGTGAGACCACATGCTTTAAGCTGTTGAAGTGTAGCTTCCTCATATTTCCTGAATGCTTAATACCTGTTGCAATAATATAATAAGGTATCTGTGTCACTCATCTGATGCAACGCACTGACTTTGCCCTATCTTCTTACACTTGTACATACAAATGACAAAGTTTGCTGCTTTCTCTCCCGACAGTATTATGGTACACACCTTGCAACATGTTTGTCTCCCATCTCCACTCGGGTCCCACATGGGTCCCAGTAGGAGACTTACATTGGTCATGTACAGTTTTCAACCCTTTATTTATTTCTACAGTGCTACATGCTGCTAGTCTTAACCTAAGATTATGATATAATCTCACTGACTGTTTTGTCGTACCTCACTCAGATTGATGGATCTTCAGAACTTTGTTTATTTGTACTAACAACCATCCCCCATGTTCTCAGGGGTGAAGTGTTTTGTTCGTGATTTTCCCGTGGGGTTGGGCTTTCTCTGAATTTAGGAACCCTGTAATTGCTTCTATGTTAATTTTTTTTTCTTCCCCCCCCCCCACCCTTGAATTTTAAGTGCGACCCGTTTTCTGGGGAAAGTGTCAGAGTGATGTAGTGGTTATAGAAACCCCTCTCTTTGTAATCCAGAGGGGTGCGTATGCCAATCACTGCTAGTGCTAGAGTTCCCCAATTCTTTCTAAAAATGGAAGTTTCCAAGGCTGTCTTATAACATGCAGTGGCTCAGCCTTTCGGGGACAAATGTTAAAATGCAAATGCTGGGTCTTGAAAAATTGATTCACCGGTTGCTTATTGAAATTGAAAGGACATTACACATAACCACTACTCCTTTTGTGAACGCTCACAGACTTTTGATGTCAGTCCATTGTTAATTCTCTGGAGAGAAGTTGTCATGGCTACTTAAGATTCTGTGCGGTTCACCAGATAGGGAGGATAGATCTCATGTGGTATGCCCTTATGTTTATGTCGTATTCTCAAGTAATGAAGTATGTTCTGTCTGTTTTAAAATTGCTACTCCTTCTCTTGTGCTTCTGAAGAAATGTGTACCAAGTGTTGTGGAGCTATCAGATTTCCTCAACTAACTCAATTAGCTTTCAAGTTTTAGCATAATACAAATATGTAATAATTGTATACTATAGCAATATTTTTAAAAGGTTTGAAATGTGACAGACTCCACAAAATTTTGGCAAAAGCAGAGTTTGAAGTCCAAAGACCATTGAATTATGAAACTTCTCAAAAGTGTACTCAGTGCATGGAATGCTTTGTTGTATTCATATTTTTACAATTAATTCAGCAAATCATATTTTTGCTTTGAATGTCTGAGTGATAGATTGTCTTTGGCACTTTGCACATTTTGTTTTTGTTTTGTGATGACAGAACTCTCATGTTTTGCCTTAAGAATGTGGAGCTGTAGCTTACATTGTCACAAGCAATCCTGGTTTAACCGAATACGTACATCGTGTTTCACTATCGTATCCCTACGACGTGGGGAACTCTGTTTCACCACTTTCCAAAGAGAAAACTTACTCGATAATCCGATCTGTATGCTTTGCATAGCAGTCTGTCAAAATTATTTTTTGAGAAATACTGAAAGTTTCAAAGAGATCTTCATTCTATAAGTTTTCTCAAATGTGAAGAATTCAACCCCGGGGGTACAAAATGACCCCAGTGGGGTACGGATAGGATTAATGAAGCATTTGTTTTCTTGACATTTGCACAGCTCTCTTTGATGGAGAGTAAAGATAAAACTAAAACATTGCTTACGATTCAATCGAGCCCATTCAGTAGTGTCTTGCTTTGTCAGCCAATTCATGATATATTGTGCCCCCTATTGTTAACAGATATTGCAAATTAATGTTCACACGATAAAAAAAGTGTGACATGTAAGACACAAATGATAAGCTGTTGCTGCAATGGAAACCCATGAGACATAGCAGCCAGTCTGTGAATATATCTTTATATACCCAGAGCTCAAAGGTTCAAGGGGTTCTGTCACTAATGATTCTCGGTGACACCCCCCCCCCCCCCCTCCCCCCCCCGGCAGTAAAAAGTCAACCAAACACGCAACTTACATTTATTGATTTAAAGAAGGATGAATCATTTCAGTAGGATCCTTTTCTTGACTTTCACTGAAACAAAATTTTGTTACATGTATTCGCATAAGATTTTGTCACTGTATGGGATTTCTCTTATGTTCAGATGAAGAGGAACTTTTAGCCAGTGAGAATTTTTCTGTTGAGGATGTGACAGACATTTTTTCACCCTACTGAATGTTTTACTGCTTTTATGCGGACATCGTCCTGATTTGAGACTGTGAAGATATCTCAAAGACATGTTTGCAGCTGTCCCAGGACACTAGAACATAAGAGGGATATGTTTGTAATGGTGCCTGGGGCAATGTACTCCTGGTAATTTGAATCTGTGAGGGTTCACAGATGTTGTTGGTGTCTTTGAATGTGAGTGTGGTTGTGTGTATTGAGAGAGAAAGAGAGAGAGAGAGATAGATAGAGAGAGAGAGAGAGAGAGAGAGAGAGAGAGAGAGAGAGAGAGAGAGAGATGAAGAATGAAAAGTATTTACTGTTGAAGTGAACCTATGGACACTTGCAAAGGGAAAGAGGATGTGAGACTGATTTCTCCGAGTTCTGTGTGTGTGTGTTGCTATGAAGTGTGTCGCTCAGTTTCACAATTAAATGTCTTTCATTGTGGATGTTATGCGAAAGATGCCACATGATGTGCTGCAATTAGAATCACCTGTATAACTTGTAAATAGAATGATGTTTTTTTACCCTCTTGTCAATGAATCAATGGATAATTTATGACTTTCTTTTCAAATTGAATAAATGAGGAAGATCTCTCAAAGAAAAGGATATGTGTTGTGCACTCTGTTGTTTCTTTAATTTGAAATTTTCTTAAAGATTATGATGATTCATCACCATGTCTGTTGTAAAATGTGCTCAAGTTACCTGTGCTTTTTCACTGCTTCAATTTAATACAGTGGAGTCCACTTATAACGAGTCCTGAAACAACAAGAAGTCTGTTATAAAGACACTATTCTAAAACCCCGTTTTTTTCCCTTCTTTATCTTTGTAAATAAAATACTGCTATAGCATAATCGGACAAACACGGGAGTCGGTTATAGCGGAATATTGCTGCTGCTGTGCACAGCGCACAGGCCAGTTATACATATAAACCTCGCCAGTTGAGAAACTTGTTGGTGATCTAGCGAAACCATCAACTTCTTGAGCGAAACAAAGAATAGGAGAGCCCACGTTTGCCAACAATGAAGGCCGGAGCGAATGAGTGATAGGCCAGCCTAGTCTAGATTATCTAGGCCTACCCATGCCCTCACTTCTCCGATGCGGGGATAGAGAGGTCACAATGCTGTGATGGATGGAGTGAATGTGTAGTAACGTGCGCAAGCAGACGAAACACACAACGGGGTGTGGTGGGGTGGGGGACAACACAGTTCTTTCTGATCGCCAACGCCGTGCTGTCAACATCGCTTGAGAAAGAAACCCGATTCAATTTTTGATTAAGTAAGACCTAGAGGTCATTTTGAACAATGTCATCATCAGGGCAGATAACAAAAAGAAATAAACAGAACACCAAACTGATAGATTAGGCCTACTTTTTAATTTTTCCATTGAATTTTTTTACTGGATTCCTTAAAACGAGAATCCTGGTATAACGGACATTTCGCACCGGTCCCCTACGTCTCGTTATAAAAGGATTCCACTGTACAAAAACATAGAAACAGGCACAAATACAGATGTCAGTATAAAAATCTGTTTTCAAGTTCTACATTTTTAAGTTCACAAACAAGAAACCCCGAAAACGTAATTATTAACTAAAACTTTTTAATTAAAATCCAGAAGTCTGAACATGTTGTCAAATAAGTTTTAAAAAAAAATTTGCTCCACAAATGACCAGTTTTTATCATAATTCAAAGAATAATTTTACTGGAAAACTGTACATATTCAGCAAGGAAGGGCATTCTGGAATAAAAAATGCAACACAACATCTCAAGATTTTCCAATTAAAACAGAATTTACACCAAAATAACAACAAAGAATGTCTGCTCAAATTCAAATGTGGTAGCTGTAACAACACCATCACCCCCTCTCCCCACACACACGTGCACACACAAGCACACACACACAGACAGACACACACACATACACAAACACACGCAAACGCACATGTGCATACATGCACAACAGAGTTCAATTATTTTGCACGTACATGATGCATCTTTCGATTGGACATGGTTTTTCAAATTGTCTGCTCACAAAGTCATGAAGAACCAGCAGTCAACTAACCCTGAGATCTAACAGGGTGTGGTTAGCTGTGTGATTCTCGGGAAAGTAGTCGAGTACGGTTGACATTGAAGAAACCAAGGACAGGCCGAGGCGTGAGCCACGGACTTTTGAAGACTGCGTGAGTAGCGGTCGAGGCGCAGC